AAAAAAAAAAAAAAAGGAAAAAGAAAACTTATGCTACCTATGAGACCAAATGTATATGGAACATCAGGACCAACTTCAGGGGGAGTTTTGAACCAGAAAATCCTGGTTGCTTGTCCATAGCCAAGACCCACCTGGTAGTAGTACTTCGTGTCGAACTGCAACAAATTAAAATTTTGTTATAATCAAAAATATTAATGTTACAATTTTAAAAGACATGAAGTATGGTGTTAGTAGGAGCGTGAACGAGTCAAGCTCGAACTCGGACTCCACATTTATTGATTGAGTCGAACAGAGTCGAGTCGAGCTTGATTCGTTAGTTTGAACTCGACTAGTTTATAAAATTTAACGAATCCAACTCGAGTCGAGCTAAATAAAATTATATAAAGATTCATATTTTCAAGCCTTAACGGGAAAACGGGACGACTCGAGCTCACAATTAGCTTGTTTCATTTAGGTGTTAGGCAAACTATATTCTTTCAACATATATACATATTTTCAAAATGAAATGTCATATAACTATATTCTTTCAACATATATACATATTTTCAAAATGAAATGTCATACTCTAACATACAACGTAAGCAAAAGTATAATATCCCATAGTATAGGTATGCATTTTTGTTAGGAAAAAAAAGTATGTTGAGTCGACTCGTCTAATAGTTAGACCACCAAAAGCAGATGTGTAATTTTGACCTGCAAGTTATTGATTGTGCAATGGTGGATGTAGCCAGATGTGTAGTTGTAGAATTTGTACTTGGTGAGGGTACCCTTAGCCTTAAGCTTGTGCTTGGGGTTCGACTCCAGCCAGTATAAGATGGTGTTTGAACCCGGTTCGGACATTGTCACCCATGACACGATCACGGATTTTCCAACATGGTCTCCTTGCATTATGTGAACCTTAACAAGAACACAAAAAAAAAATAAATAAATAAAAAATAAAAAAAAAATAAAAAAATAAAAAAAATGTATAATTGAATACTAAATTCTCATAAAATAGACCTTTTCACCCAACTATGAAAAATGCTTCAAGTTTTTCAACTGATAAGTTAATTTTTTCACTCAAAAAGTGCGAAAGTATTGTGCAATGAATATGCGACAATTATGCGGTTCATTTGCATAACTTTCGCGTTTATGAGGAATTGTCAACGAAAAACTTCATATAGAAAAATATCACCTTTATAAAATAAAGAAACAAGTTCAAATGGCAAGCTTACTCATTTTAACAACAACAACAATAATAATTTAATTCTATATTTCATTTTCATATTATTATACTGAGGAATTTGAACTTCTCATGCCATTTCAGAATGTTTCAAAAACGACAATAATCAGCACATTAGCTAAAAAAGCATGGTTTAAAGCATAAATTAAGTATATGTCAAACTATAAAAATAATTGGAAAAAAAAGGGAAGAGAACTAAAGCATTCTAAATTAACAGACCTGTTGTGGTGCATTGTAGCCAGGAGGCGCACGGAAGACATCACTGTCGAGAGGCATATCCTCGCTCTCATCGAATTTCCTCACAAAACTACTTGTGATCCCTCCAAGGCACACATTAGCAAAGATATTCAGAACCAAACTCAACAAAGCTATAAAAGAGACCATCTTCAAAGTTAATAAACAAAATATATAAGTTTTTTTCCTCTATTTCTTATGCTATGTGTGATTCATAATACATAACACTACACACATATATATACTGTAATTGTTATGTTTGTTAGTTAAGGCATGTGTACTTATACTTTGGTAGGCTTCAATAATTGAGTGGGGCATGAAAACCACTAAACTTTGTTAGCCATTAAAATTTTTTCTTTTTGATAACTTTGGTAGATATGAAATGAGTGGAGTGAAAACAATCTAATTAATAATTAATAAGTCATAATAAATGTATGGTGTGATGGTCGGTGAAAAACTTCCGTGCAGTTGATTATAAGAACAGAACGACTGATGGTCTTAATTAATATTTAAGACATGTATTTTAAAACAAGATTCACAATATTTGTTAAGCTAAAAGGCATATTATTAGCAAACGTATATCACGTGTGTGGTTTGAAATTATAATTTTTTTCCCTTGAATTAGCCTACTTATTAGTTATTTCTTGTTGTTTGAAAGTATAAAATATATCCATTAAATTAAGCATACTAATTTCTCGAAACAATTACGTGTAAATGATAGTAAATGCAGATAAGAAAAATGAGGTTGTATGTTAAATTCTTAAAAGCACGTGTTGATTGGTGGCTTGAGTGGCGCACATATTTCTGTCGTCTTCCAATTCTATGATTTTTATGTTGTCTCAATCATTGGACTAATTTTCACGTGCTCTCCACACTCGAACAGTGCAACAGTGCATATGATATGGTTTCATTTTGTATTGTTTGGAAAATATTACAACAGATCTGAAATACAGAAAATAACTCAATCAAAAGTGGCAATCTAATTTTTATAGTTTATTGATGTAGAGAAACATATGAGTGGGAAAGATAAATGAGATGTATAATTATTTTACACCATTTATCCAGAAATTATTTCATTTGTAAATTTAATTTGATTGATATAATTTGTACATTTGAAGGTTGAATCTATCTGCAATTTGCACATTGGTATTTGGTAAGAAGAGAGAAGGATGAGAAGAATAGAGAGAAAAAAATAGATAAATATATATTAATTGGGTGGTTTGTATTAATTATTTTTTTTTCTTTAAGTTTTAACTGTTTTATTAACTTTTGTTTTAAAATTCAAAACCAATCACTGTAGTTACAAAAATTGTATTTGTGGAATTGTACTCAGACTACTTTCATTTTGGAATGATTATTTTTATTAAAGAGCAAGGTTTCATTTTGGAATGATTATTTTTATTAAAGAGCAAGGATGCTTGGATACAAAACATATCCAAAAAATTCAAACACTTTTAACTCAACCATTTTTTTTAACTCAACTTTAATTCTACCCAACTAATATTAATATTATTAATATAATTAAATAATATCAACCAATCATTTTTACACATCACATCAACCTTAATTCACTATTCATCCTCTCACATAATTTTAACTAACCATCACTTCAAATCATTTCTCTCATACTTTTACATTAAATCAATTTTAATTATTTTATTTTTAAATATTATTTTAATATACCACTAACAATTAATCATACCACCTTTTTCAAAATTAACCAAACAAAACAAAAAAAATTCAAACAAATCCAAAAATTTTTATATCCAAGCATCTTTTCGCCTGGATGTGGCCCATTAACTTGGAAATGTAGGTTTGGGCTATGTGAAACATGGTTGGCTCATAAAGTCAACAATGCAAACATTAATATAAAAAATCGAAAAATGTTACTCCCTCCTATTTTAAATATTTGTCATCCTAGCTATCAACACACTAATTAAGAAATATTTTTCTTTCCAAGTTTAACCTTATATAATGACACAATTATAGATGGATGTTCTTGGGAATATGAAGAGACAATGGGTATTGATGGATGGGTTAAAAGGGAAAAATATGAACAAAATAGTCAAAACGACATTTATTTAACAAATGATCAATTAAACTAGAATGACAAATATTAAAAATAGGAGGGAGTACAATACTGTAACAAAATCATTCTTCTATATAAAACTTCAATAAGTAACCGTCACATTACTTTTGTTTGACTACATCTAACGATCCATATTAAAACTAAAAGATCTAATGTCTTATATTGAAGTGAGGGAATCATTCCTCTACGAGACTGTAGCATTTTCCTAAAAAATCTATTTGTAACTTTATTTTCTTAACGAAAGGATGCAATTTTATTAATATAACACTCTCCAGAGACGGATCTCCTTTAGTCCTGGAGCCCAGCCCTNNTATTGATTTGAAAAGAAAACAATTATTGTATTTTTTTTAACACCTAAAAAAATAATTCACTATTTATTAAGTCTAAAAACTACTAACACCAATCTAATAAAATATTATATATTATTAATTCATCCTTTCCACTAGACACTAACCCACAAAACACCACTATATACTAAACTCCATCAAATAAATTAGTCACGACCATGACCCTCTTATGAATACCAAAACAATGAATTTAGAAGAACAATAAATAATAATAATAAATAAATAAATAATACTATTCAACAAGAAAAAGACTACTTTCATGAAGACGAGTTAATTTCTTCTTTAATAGTAAGTTATATTTTTAAACTCCCTATTAGATATTTATTTCATTTGTCTAATTGTCTTTATCTATCTTCTCATTTTAGTCGAACTATTTAGGGTTTTAATAGTAATTGCTAGGATCATTTGGTTGCGATTCTTGTTTTGTTAATTGTGTATAAAGTAGTAAATGTGTGTGTGTGTGTGTGTGTGTGTGTGTGTTTAATCTCATATCCTCAATGTGGTTGTTGTAGTTGAATATAAATTTAGGATGTGTAGGCATTTTATTTTGCTAATAACTATGTCATATGAAAAATCTATTTATTTGTATTGTGGAATTTTTAGAAATTCACAAGGAGCACCAACCTTCGGCTAATAAAGGAAAAATCTCATTGATATCATCGTTCTTTAGAAAACGAGATCGACGTCAAACTAGTGAAAGCACATCAAATACTGTGCAGAATGAGCATAATATTTTTTTTTTTTTTTTTT